AGCTTAAAATTATTTACAAAATTATTTCTTAAACCTGCTAAAAGGTAACAATATCCAACTATTGCTTTTTTAGCAGATTCTTTATTTGAAAAGGTACGATTATCAGGAATGATATTTATCATTTCATCAAAAAATCCTTTTAATTTTGGTTCATTTTCTTCAATTAATTGACAAAATTTTATTGGATCTAATTCAATTTCTGCATGGTGTTTACGTTGATTATCATAGAGTACTTTGGTCAATAATTCAATTTTATTTGAAAAGGACAATTCATCTATAATTAAAATTTAATTGTGAGTATTTATATATACATAAATTAAAATATATTTAAAAAAAATTTTAGTCTACTTTTTCTTAAGTTATTTTGAACTGTTAAATAAACATCACTTGACTCAAGTAGATGTTCAATTTCATTTTGGTTTTTTTCAATTGTAAATTCCATCATGTTTAGCAACCAGCATAGCAGACATTTTCATATTTGGTAATGATTTGCGCCAATCACACTTTGATTTTATCACGTAGAAAAGAATTTTGATTGGTCTGAATATCGTTACTAAATTAACAATTACACAAAATCAATAATTGCGCACAATCATTTTTTGACATTAATTAATTTTTAAACATAATAAACAAAGTTGTTAAAATGTTTTATACATAAAAAAATGTGATGTGGTAGATACAGAGATAAAGACACATTATAAAAAAATAATAAGGAAATTAGAATTGTGCAAAAATATGGGTTAACAATTTTTTTGCAAAAATCCCTTTCATAATAAATAGATTGTGAATTTAATATCTCTATTTTTTGTAAATAAATAAAATTCAATGTCATTATAACAGTAACAGTAGTATGACTTGTTCTCCCTTATCCATATTCAAATATTCATAATTTATGGGAATGATATTTCGATTCTTATTGTTCAAATATCCATAATACTTTCAAATATAAATATCATAACACTTTCAAATATTGTAACACTTTCAAATATTGTAACACTTTCAAATACTTTCAAATTAATATTAACTCTTTCAGACAGTGTATAAAATACATGTGCACAGTGTGCACAGTGCACAAACCCCTTAAACTGTGCACAATAAGATATATATTTTTGTGCAGACTCTCAACAATAATTTTAAATATAGTGCACAAATTCAATGAGAAATTTTTGCATCATTACATTTTTCTATGTATAATGCATAAAAAAAATCAAAAAAACTAAAATACTTACAATTTTTTGTGCATACATGCACAATTTTTAAACAACTTTTGCACAAT